TCTCTCTCTCTCTCTCTCTCTCTCTCTCTCTTTCTTTCGTCAGGGTTTTGCTAAGTTGCTTAGGGCCTTCCTAAGTTGCTGAGGCTGGCCTTGAACTTGCCATCCTAGGGCCTTAACCTCCTGAGTCGCTGGATGACCCACGTGCGCCACCAGCGTTTTAAACAGCATGTACTTGCATTGGAGTTTTTCCAACTGGACATTTTTAGACATTAATTGCCAGATTTATTCCTTTTATATTTATTTTAAATGATGTGTTTCTACCACCTAAGAGTATTTAATTTCATTTCCTTCTTTCTCTATTTTTTATTCTTATTTTTTTCCATCAATATCCATGTCTCCCTAATAAGATGAGAACTTTTCCAGAATTTCTTCTCTTATGTTTACTATTTTATCTTTTCTATTTTCTTTGGGTTTATTATTTTACAGAGAAGCTCTTAATTTTGATCAAGTCTGATTTATCCAAAACACTATTTTTCTTTTATGGATTTTGATTTTGGTGTTGTATCTAAGAAGTCTTTGTCTATCTTAAGGTCACAAAGATTATCTTCTATGTTGTATTTCTAGAATATTTAAGGTTGTTAAGTCTTACATTTAGGTTAATAATTCATTTTTATTTTTTTCTCCATTGCTGGAGATCAAATACAGGCCTTGCAAGCACTCTACCCCTGAGCTACACCCCAGCCCCTTAACTTTTTAATATAACATGAGGTGTGGATTGAAGTTCACTTTTTGTATATGGGTATACAGTGGTTCCAACACCATTCATTGAAAAAAATTATCCTTTCTCCACTGTGTTTCCTTGCACATTTTTTGAAAATCAATTACTCATAAACATATGGGTCTATTTATATTCCATTTCTCATTTGTGTGGTCATTATCTTAATTATTTAACTTTACAATAATAGTCAGGTAATATAAGTCTTAACACTTTTTCTTTTTAAAGTTGTTTTTGCTATTCTAAGTACTTTGCACATCCATATTAATTTTAGAAGCAGCCTGTCAATTTCTATTATTTAAAGAAGTCTGCTAGGTTTAATTTGGATGGAGTTGAACCTATAGATCAACTTGAGAAAAACTGATGTTTTAATAATATATAGTTTTTGAGAGATGAACATGATATATTTTTCCCTTTATTCTGGTCTACTGTAACTGGTTTACAGTTTTCAGAATAAAGATCTTATACATCTTTTGTCAAATTTATCCCTATTTCATATTTTTGTCATTACTTGATTTACTAAAATTTCAATTTTTGATCATTTCTTTGAATGGTAGGCTATTTAGAGTTGTGTTCTTTAGTTTCAAATATCTTGGGGATTTTCCAGATGGCTTTCTCTTACTTATTCTAACTTAATGATTGTGGTCAAAGATCATTGTATAAATTGAATTATTTTAACTTTATTAAGACTTGTTATATGGCCCAGAATATTTTACACTCATAAATATTCCACGTCCATTTGAAGAGAAAATGTGTGTTCTGCTGCTATTGGGGGATTGTTTTATAAATGTCAATCATGTCAAGTTGGTTGATAACAGCGTTTGAATGTTCTGTATCCTTATTGGGTTCTTTGCTATTTTTTTATTGACTGATGAAACGTGAGTATTCAAATCTCTGACTATAATTGTAGATGGGCCTATTCTTGAAGTTCTGTCACATTTTGCTTCATTTATTTTGAATCCCTGTTATTGGATACTCTCACCCACGACCAACGCAGACAAGACGACTGGGTTTAAAAGAGCTGGCCGCAACATTAAACTAAGAAAGTGGAGAAAAATCACACAACACAGACATAAGTTTTTCAGATGGAGGGAGGGATGGCTCTGCGACCTTAAGGGTCAGCTTCCACACTGGAAAGAGCACTGGAAATAAAGAGTGTGAGCCCAGAATCCCTTTATTTTATAAGTGGGTGCACCCGAGGGGGATATGGTTTTAAGGGTGGAGTCTTGCTTACTGATGTCTGGTGGGCAGCAGATTGATTGACATCTTGATGAGTCAGAGCCATCTCAGGTGCTGTGTGGGATCTTAGGCAGAGCTGGAGGGGGAGGTGCACCCACATCATGCCATCAATCCCTTGACAGGGAGTTCACAGTGCCAGGCCTGTCCCCTCCAGAGGCTACTATGCACAACACAAGCCACACTCAGCCCATGGACGGCTCGTGACAGGGTACATAAATGTTGAGGATATTTATGTTCTCTTGGCAAATTAACCCCTTTATTAGGAAACAAACTTCTCTCTGATATTATTCTTTGCTTGAAATCTATTCTGTCTGATATTAATAAAACCACTACAGATTTCTTGCATTAGGGTTGACATGATATTTTTCCATCCTTTATCTTAAAACTTACTAGTCTTAAAAGTGGATGTCTTCGTTTTTCAGTATGATTCATTTTTATTTTATTTTTTATTTGTTCTAATCAGTTATACATGATAGCAGAATGCATTTCAATTATTGTACACAAATGGAGCACAACTTTTTATTTCTCTGGTTGTACATGATGTAGAGTCGCACCACATGTGCAGCTACATATGTACCTAGGGTAATAATGTTCATCTCATTCCACCATCGTTCCTGCCCCCTTGTCCCCTCCCCTTCCCTCTCTCCCCTTTGCCCAATCAAAGTTCCTCCATTCACACCCTCCATCCCCTATGGATCTGCATCCACTTATCAGAGAGAACATTCCGCCTTTGGTTTTTTGGGATTGGCTAACTTCACTTAGCATGATGTTCTCCAAGTCCATCCATTTACCTGTAAATGCCATAATTCTATTCTCTTTTAATGCTGAGTAATATTCCATTGTGTATATGTACCACAGTTTCTTTATCCATTCATCTGTTGAAGGGCATCTAGGTTGGTTCCACAGTTTAGCTATTGTGAACTGAGCTGCTATGAACATTGTTGTGGCGGTGTCACTATAGTATGCTGATTTTAAGTCCTTTGGGTAAAGACAGAGGAGTGGGATAGCTGGGTCAAATGGTGGTTCCATTCCAAATTTTCTGGGGAAACTCCATACTGCTTTCCATAGTGGTTGCACCAATTTGCAGTGCCACCAGCAATGTACGAGTGTACCTTTTTCTCCACATCCTTGCCAACATTTATTATTGCTTGTATTCCTTGATAATTGTCATTCTGACTGGAGTAAGATGAAATCTTAGGGTAGTTTTGGTTTGCATTTCTCTAATTACTAGAGAAGTTGAACATTTAAAGTGGGTTTCTTGTAGGCCACACAGATTTGGATATGACTTTTTTTAATATCCAATTTGGCAATCTTTACATTTTAATTGGATTGCTTATACCATTAACATTCATTGGAATGATTTGGTTTAAGTCTACCATCTTGCTATTTGTCTTCTATTGTCTTCTATTTTATTTCTCTCATCTGTTCTTTATCTCGTCTCTCTCTCTCTTTAGGTCTTCTTTTGAATTAACTGGATACTTTTTGTGATTTTATTTTAGCAACGCCCCCCCCCACACACACACACACAGAGTCTCACTGTGCTGCTAAGCTGGTTTTAAATACCTGGTTCAAGTGGTCCTCCGACCTCAGCCTCCCAAGTGCTGGAACAACAGAGGTGTGCCACCACACCCAGCTAATATGTTAGGCTTTTTAGCTACAGCTATTTGTTATTTTGGTGGTTGCTTTAGGATTTACAGTATTTACCCTTCCCTTATCTCAGTCTACCTTCAGGAGATACTTCGTCGGGCCCCAGGTAGTATATAAAACCTTACTCTGGCAAATTCCCATTTCTCCCCTCCAGGTCTTTGGGCTATTGTACAAGGTACAGTTTTGCCTTCACAAATATTATAAGCCCCACGTTACATCACTAACAGTTTTGTTCTCAACAGTCAATGAGCTTTTCTAGAGATTTAAACAGTAAGGAAAGGGTCACTGGCCTGTCCCAGGGAGCTGCTTTTCAGGTGCTCGTCATTCCACTGTGTAGCCCCAGGTTTCTGTTTGGTGGCATCTTCCTTCTGCTTGAAGGACCTTCCTTTCCTTCTGTCCAAAGGACTTCACTGTGTGACCACCGTGGCATGTAGGCAGTCTACTGCCGAAGTTGTCTTCAGTAGTATGGGCTCAGTTGCCAAGACTTGGCCTTAAACTTTTGATCCTCCTTCCTCAGCCTCCCAAGTCGCTGGGATTACAGGTGTGTGCCACCACACCGGGCTCTCAGTCTGTTTTTGAAGAATAGCTTTGCTGTGCCAAGAATTCCAGATGGACAGAGTTTCTTGCTCCTGCACATTGTGTTTTCAAAGGAAAATTTCAGAGGATCTAGATTAAAATCCTGGGAACAGAAAGTCCGTTCACTTTCACTTGGGTACTAGATGTATCCAAGCACATATTTAAATCTTCAGGTCTGAGTTCATTGTGGTGGTGCAAACCTGTCATCTCAGCAACTCTGGAGGCGGAGGCAGGAGGATGGCAAGTTCAAGGCCAGTCTCAGCAACTCAGTAAGGCCCTAAGCAACTTAGCAAGATCCTGTCTCAAAAGATAAAAAGGACTGGGAAGGTAGTTCAGTGGTAAAGTGCCTCTAGGTTCAAATCCAAGGGCCTAAATAAATAAATAAATAAATAACTCTGCAGGTCCTCTGCATGCCTTTTGAACTCCCAACCACACAAGGAAAGGCAGCAACCCCGATCCATAGCCATGGAGATGAATGCCAGGCTGTGTGTGTTTTGTTTCTATTTTCAGGCTTAGAGAAGAATGGAAGCAGAGGCTGGAAACAAAGCTGAGGCTACGGAACAATCCAGACGAGACTGAAAGGCGGGCAAATGTTGGCTGAGAGCTTCCTGCTCCACTGACCACAGAGGACACAAAGCACTGAGGTCACGCTGCTGGAAGTCAACTCAAATCCCCAAGTCCCTTTGCCTTGCCGGTTGGATCCCCGAAAGGGGGTTCCCTGCCCATCCTCTCCCAATGCGCATGCGCCTCATTTGCCGAGTCAGTCTTCTCCGTGTCGGGGGCAAGTTTTTATTCCAAGTGGCTCTGAAGATGAGCTTATTTATAATCAAGGCTCCAGGCAGCATTCTTAACTTTTACATAATTATCTTCTAATTAAAAAACCCACCTATTTCAACTTCTTAGCACCCCAGAAGGGGTTCCCAACCTTCATGGTCAGAGTATAAACATGGTCCAGGGGCTGGGGAGGTAGCTCAGTTGGTAAAGTGCTTGCCTCACACACCAAAAATAAATAAATAAATAAATAAATAGGAATGGCACAGGAGTTTCACTCCACCATCCCGCCTAGGAAACCATTGTTTCAGGTAATCCTTTCTCTTGTTCTCTTTCGATGCAAAGAGAAATCGCACCTCTCTGCAGAAATAAAGATAATTTTGTATAACAATGAGGGTCTCCCTCCATTACCATGCAATTTCCCTTTTCTCTCCCTTTCCCTCCCACCTCATGTCTCTGTTTAATGTTGATCTTTTCTTCCTGCTCCACCAACTTGAATCTAATGTATGAAATATGATATGTCAAGAGCTTTGTAATGTTTTGAACAACCAATAAAAATAAATAAAGAAATAAATAAAAGAAATAAAGATAATTTCAATAGTCATAAATAAGGTTTGAAAATACATTGATCTTTGTATGAATTTGTTTTCAAAAAAAATATGTCTCTCAATACTATCAGGATTGTTTTAATACAATTCAGTGTCTTGGTGTCCCCAGTGTATGCATTTCATCCACGGCTTTAATTAAATGCATGTGTTTGCAGCGGTGAGCTCTCTATCAGCTCAGACAGTGTCTAGCCATCCCAATAGAGAGCATACCACACAGCTTCTGGACTTTGGAATGTCACTGTCACTCTCTAGCCATCTCTCAGGTCTAGAAGCATCAGTGCCAATGGCAGCTGGGTCTGGGAAACAATCTCTATCCAAGGGAAGGGGACAAAGAGACGAATGGTGGGCACTTCTGGATATTGCCAGTTGTGCGTGGTCCCTCAGGCCTTATGAACACAGGGGCAATGTGGCTAGTGCTACCAGGAGCTCCTCTGGTTTGCTTTACATAGAAATTCCAACTTTATCCTCACCGAAACACATATGCAAGCATTGTTACCATTACACATTTTTTTAATAGGTGAGTATAATGATGCTTTAAAAAGTTTTGTAAGATAACCACAGAATGAATTAGTGAAAGAGCCAGGATTCAAAGTCAGTTCTAACTACAAAGCCAGTTCCCATCCAAATCATGATACCAGCAAATTAATGCCCATAAGTCCTTGTTTCAAAAGATTTGTGCTCAGCAGTAGTCTTTTCTTATTAAATATAAAAATATACATGTGGGTGAGGAGGCCCACACCTATAGTCCCAGCAGCTTGGAAGATTGAGACAGGAGGATGTGAATTCAAAGTTGGCCTCAGCAACTTAGTGAGGCCCTAAGCAACTCAGGGAGACTCTATCTCTAAATAAAATATAACAAAGGGCTGGGGATGTGGCTCAGTGGTTAAGAGTACATGGGTTCAACTCCCAATAACAACAACAACAAAAAAATCTGCATGCAAGATGCATGTTTACACACTGAGAACCTATTAATATCTGTAAATTTTGAGTCGAAGAGTCGCAGAATTGCTAGTTGCTCATTCTGAAGGTCTATATCAGTGCTGTAGGAGATGTCATTAGGTCTTAACTGAACAAAGAATGGGGCACAGTAAAATGTTAGCAAGTATAAGCCCTTTTTCAAATCAAAGGATCCTGGCTCCCTACTCATCTCCCTCATGTCCCGCCTCTCACTTTCTATTTCTCACTTACACTGGATTATTTGTAGAAGGTGGTGTACCTAGATGGTGTAAACGGGATTGAAAATAACGGAAAAGATTGCTAAACTTCTAAGAATGACACATTTTTGGAGTTAAACAAAGGGAATGCAAATAAGGACACTTTGAAAGCTGATCCTACACTTTATCAAGATCAGAGTGGTTTTTTTTCCCCTCTAAAAATGCTTTACCAGAAGTTTCTACACCCAGCCCCAACTTCTTCCAACCCCTAATCTCATTATCTCAATAAAAAGTACACTCATCTAGTTACTCAGGTGAAAATCTAGTCACCCCAAAACTCTTCTCTCTCTCTCCTGAACCTCTCACAAATACTTCTGCCAGTTTCAAAATGTCAATGATGCCTTCTCAACATTGTAAGGTTTACAATCTAAACCTCTGTGCCCTGGTTCAAGGGTGACAGTGATTCAAACACAATTAAATGCATCATCTTTAGTATAAATACTGTTTATAAGTAAAACTCAGTGTCTGCTATCTTCTGGAAGGTGACTTCCTCTGCCCCCAGGAGTTAGGTAGCTTACTCAGAAGAGGTGTAAGAACTGGGGGCTAGGAAGGGCCACTCAGGAGACCTCATGGAAGTGGTGCTTTTTAAATAGAGAGCTTTATGGAGAAGGAATTCTATCCCCAGGTCAGTGCATGAACATTCTAGAACTCTACTTCCACAGGACACTGTTTAGGTATTATGGAAATGGATGTGTCAGGGCCTGTCTGATCTTCTAGGTGGGGAGAGACACTTGGCAGAACCCTTCTGGTTTCCAGAGCAAAGTACATGACTCCACCAAGTCAGCCTCAGAGAGAAAGATGAACGCATGGCCAAGGGCATGGGGAGTGGGAAGGAGAGGCTTTGGATTAAAAAGCCCATTTCCATGGGGGAAGGTTTTATTATGGATGTGCTGACAGGTGAGACCATTTATTAGTGTAAAATATTTTGAAATATTCAAGCAGGCTCTATTCTGCTTCTTTAGGAAGAATCTGCATTGAAAATACTTTTATTTGTTGGTATATTTGGTAACAAATGTTTTAGATGTTTTTATTTTATTTCAATTCCCTTTTTGTGTGTGTGGCATTGTGGATTGAAACCAGTCGTATTCTACCACTGAGCCACATTCCCCTCCCTTTTGTAGTTTTGTTTTGAGACAGGGTCTCATTAAGTTGCTGAGGCTGGCCTTGAACTTGTGATCCTCCTGCCTCAGCCTCCGGAGTACCTGGGATTACAGGCGGGCATCACCATACTCAGTCATTTTGGGTTTTTTTTTTTTTTTTTGTATAGTACATAAACACTAGAACAATGAAATTACTCTTCCGGACTGATAACCTCAAGTTAAATTTTCATATCCACCTAGGTACAGGCATCACCTCCAGTTCTATTCTTTTCTAGGAATTTCGCAGGTACATAACGGAGGATTGGCTTGTTCAGGTCTAAAAAGAACCTTAGAGGATGAATGAGGCCTGGAAGCCCAGCTCTCAGTCCATCCTGACTTGGTGTCCTCTTGGGGATCTGAGTCCCAGCTGTTGCCCCAGGAAACCTGGCTGCCCTGGAGAGGAACCGACACTGCTTCCTTTTGTCTCATCCATGGAAGGATCATCAGATAAAGCACCTAGAGGGGGTAGCAGTCAGCTTCGGGAGATCCTGTACAATGCACTGGCCATGAAATAAGGGCTTCAGCTACATGGTGAGGCCGAGGGAAAGGGCAGACAACTTAGGGCTGGGCTGCGAGGGCCAGGAAGGTTGCATCTTAGGGGCTCAGAGGATGAAACTGGGAGCAAGAAACATTGGCCGCCTTGGCATCCGGTCCAGCCCTAGGGACTGGAACAACACTCATGTGCCAGAACACAAAACTTCTCTGTTGGGCAGATGAATAGAGAGAGGGCTTGCCTCCAGCACAGGCCCACTGCTTCCTGAGCAGTTCCCAGGAACCCCATTCAAAGCAGGCCAAGGAGACAGGGCCACACGGCTCTAGGCATGTTTCCTCCTCCCTGAGCTTAGCTTTCTGAATCAGTCAACATGAAACAGGGAGGTCAGTGGCTGAGCTTTAGACGCCGTTTTACAAGGCCACTTCCCAAGAGGAAACTCCCACCATATCATGACAGCCTGAATGAAGGGCGTTACAGGGCCAGGTGCTTCTGGAACCCTAAACAAGACTGCCCATCCAGCTGTGCCTTGAGCTGCAGACGCACTGCCACATCTCTGCCTGTAGTTGCCCCCTGACAAATAGAACTTTATGCCCTGGGGTGGCTGGAATGATGGCTGGTCCATGCCCCATCTTCACAGTTGGCTCCATTCAAACCTTCCCTGGACCCAGAAGCTATTTTTGAGGACAGCTCCTGAGGCCACAGGGAACGTAAAGCAGGAAGTCAGTTGGCTACAAAAGAAGGCAGAGAAGAAACTGGGGAAAGGTGAGCCACAGAGAGGAGAGAGAGAGAGCTTTCTGGAAAGCAGGTCTGCAGCAGGTTTAGAAGAATTCACTTCTGTGTGTGAGTGTGTGTGTGTGTGTGTGTGTGTTCCTGGGGGTTAAACCCATGGCCTCACACATACTAGGCAAGTGCTCTACCACTACACTACATCCCCAGCAATTTTTATTTTTTCATTTTATTGATTGTGTGTGTGTGTGTGTGTGTGTTTGGTGCTGAGGATCGAACTCAGGGCCTCACGCATACCAGATAAGCAAGCACTCTACCACTGAGCGACATCCCCAGCCTAGAAGGGTTCACTCTTGATCATGGTTGTCTCTGTCAGGGGCCAGTCAGGTGTAGAAGAAAGAGAAGGTAGGGTGTACCGTCTTTCAAGTCTGTAAGTAAACCTGCCCCTTTCTAGGAAATGAGATTCTATCTCTTTTGAGGTTGTTCCTCTCATGCCAACATCCTTGGAAACACAGTCTGGAACATAGGCAGTCAGTGTCTCTGCTCACAGGAGGCACAGAAATGCTGGAGACCCATGAAAATGTCTCCCAACAGCATCCACCCCTTGTTTGCACTGTCTTGGCTTCTGGTGAATTTCCCCTGAGGCCCCTCAGATGTATCTGGCTGGCAGGCCGGGATCACATTCATTTAGTTTGGCTAGTAAGTCAGCTATGAACAGGATCTCAAGCAGAAGGATCAAGCCAACCTGCCTGTAGCTATGTCCTCCTGGGTCCTTGATCAGGGTCCCTGCTCTGACTGAAAGGGTAAAGTTTCTAAGCTGCAAAGCCTGAGTTAAAATGTAAAGGACTAGGTATTGTAAAGTTTCTGAACTGCACACAGAACCTGAAATTCCTGGGGCAGTTAAGACAATGCCCCACTGACCACTTAGTTGTTTAATAACCTAGGACCCAGAGCAGTTTGCATTCAGGGCCCAAACCAATCAATTTGAATGTGTACCCCGCTTAGGAGTGACCAATCACCCCCGCCCGACCTGTTCCCGCCAATGAATGTA